TATTCACTTATAAAACTAAACCATCTCCATCCTTGCAGGCTAATCCCACTGAGGTATTCACTTATAAAACTAAACCATCCCCATCCTTGCAGGCAAAGCCCAATGAGGTATTCACTTATAAAACTAAACCATTCCCATCCTTGCAGGCTAAGCCCACTGAGGTATTCACTTATAAAACTAAACCATCCCAATCCTTGCAGGCTAAGCCCACTGAGATATTCACTTATAAAACTAAACCATCTCCATCCTTGCAGGCTAATCCCACTGAGGTATTCACTTATAAAACTAAACCATTTCCATCCTTGCAGGCAAAGCCTGCTGAGGTATTCACTTATAAAACTAAACCATCTCTATCCTTGCAGGCTAAGCCCAATGAGGTATTCACTTATAAAACTAAACCATCCCCATCCTTGCAGGCAAAGCCCACTGCGGTATTCACTTATAAAACTAAACCATCTCCATCCTTGCAGGCTAAGCCCACTGCGGTATTCACTTATAAAACTAAAGCATCTCCATCCTTGCTGGCAAATCCCACTGAGGTATTCACTTATAAAACTAAACCATCCCCATCCTTGCAGGCTAAGCCCACTGAGATATTCACTTAGAAAACTAAACCATCTCCATCCTTGCAGGCTAAGCCCACTGAGGTATTCACTTATAAAACTAAACCATCTCCATCCTTGCAGGCAAATCCCACTGAGGTATTCACTTATAAAACTAAACCATCTCCATCCTTGCAGGCTGTGCCCACTGAGGCATTCACTTATAAAACGAAACCATGCCCATCCTTGCAGGCTAAGCCCACTGAGGTATTCACTTATAAAACTAAACCATCTCCATCCTTGCAGACTAAGCCCACTGAGGTATTCACTTATAAAACTAAACCATCTCCATCCTTGCAGGCAAATCCCACTGAGGTATCACTTATAAAACGAAACCATCTCCATCCTTGCAGGCTAAGCCCACTGAGGTATTCACTTATAAAACTAAACCATCCCCATCCTTGCAGGCTAAGCCCACTGATGTATTCACTTATAAAACTAAACCATCCCCATCCTTGCAGGCAAAGCCCACTGAGGTATTCACTTATAAAACTAAACCATCTCCATCCTTGCAGGCAAATCCCACTGAGGTATTCACTTATAAAACTAAACCATCACCATCCTTGCAGGCTAAGCCCACTGAGGTATTCACTTATAAAACTAAACCATCTCCATCCTTGCAGGCTAAGCCCACTGAGGTATTCACTTATAAAACTAAACCATCCCCATCCTTGCAGGCAAAGCCCACTGAGGTATTCACTTATAAAACTAAACCATCCCCATCCTTGCAGGCTAAGCCCACTGAGGTATTCACTTATAAAACTAAACCATCCCCATCCTTGCAGGCTAAGCCCACTGAGATATTCACTTATAAAACTAAACCATCTCCATTCTTGCAGGCTAATCCCACTAAGGTATTCACTTATAAAACTAAACCATCCCCATCCTTGCAGGCAAAGCCCACTGCGGTATTCACTTATAAAACTAAACCATCTCCATCCTTGCTGGCAAATCCCACTGAGGTATTCACTTATAAAACGAAACCATCCCCATCCTTGCAGGCTAAGCCCACTGAGATATTCACTTATAAAACTAAACCATCTCCATCCTTGCAGGCTAAGCCCACTGAGGTATTCACTTATAAAACTAAACCATCTCCATCCTTGCAGGCAAATCCCACTGATGTATTCACTTATAAAACTAAACCATCTCCATCCTTGCAGGCTAAGCCCACTGAGGTATTAACTTATAAAACTAAACCATGCCCATCCTTGCAGGCTAAGCCCACTGAGGTATTCACTTATAAAACTAAACCATCTCCATCCTTGCAGGCTAAGCCCACTGAGGTATTCACTTATAAAACTAAACCATCTCCATCCTTGCAGGCAAATCCCACTGAGGTATCACTTATAAAACTAAACCATCCCCACCCTTGCAGGCTAAGCCCACTGATGTATTCACTTATAAAACTAAACCATCCCCATCCTTGCAGGCAAAGCCCACTGAGGTATTCACTTACAAAACTAAACCACCTCCATCCTTGCAGGCAAATCCCACTGAGGTATTCACTTATAAAACTAAACCATCCCCATCCTTGCAGGCTAAGCCCACTGAGGTATTCACTTCTAAAACTAAACCATCTCCATCCTTGCAGGCTAAGCCCACTGAGGTATTCACTTATAAAACTGAACCATCCTCTTCCTTGCAGGCAAAGCCCACTGAGGTATTCACTTATAAAACTAAACCATCCCCATCCTTGCAGGCTAAGCCCACTGAGGTTTTCACTTTTAAACTAAACCATCCCCATCCTTGCAGGCTAAGCCCACTGAGATATTCACTTATAAAACTAAACCATCTCCATCCTTGCAGGCTAATCCCACTGAGATATTCACTTATAAAACTAAACCATCCCCATCCTTGCAGGCAAAGCCCAATGAGGTATTCACTTATAAAACTAAACCATCCCCATCCTTGCAGGCTAAGCCCACTGAGGTATTCACTTATAAAACTAAGCCATCCCCATCCTTGCAGGCTAAGCCCACTGAGATGTTCACTTATAAAACTAAACCATCTCCATCCTTGCAGGCTAATCCCACTGAGGTATTCACTTATAAAACTAAACCATGCCCATCCTTGCAGGCTAAGCCCACTGAGATATTCACTTATAAAACTAAATCATCTCCATCCTTGCAGGCTAAGCCCACTGAGGTATTCACTTATAAAACTAAACCATCTCCATCCTTGCAGGCAAATCCCACTGAGGTATTCACTTATAAAACTAAACCATCTCCATCCTTGCAGGCTAAGCCCACTGAGGTATTCACTTATAAAACTAAACCATGCCCATCCTTGCAGGCTAAGCCCACTGAGGTATTCACTTATATAACTAAACCATCTCCATCCTTGCAGGCTAAGCCCACTGAGGTATTCACTTATAAAACTAAACCATCTCCATCCTTGCACGCAAATCCCACTGAGGTATCACTTATAAAACTAAACCATCTCCCTCCTTGCAGGCTAAGCCCACTGAGGTATTCACTTATAAAACTAAACCATCTCCATCCTTGCAGGCAAATCCCACTGAGGTATTCACTTATAAAACTAAACCATCTCCATCCTTGCAGGCTAAGCCCACTGAGGTATTCACTTATAAAACTAAACCATGCCCATCCTTGCAGGCTAAGCCCACTGAGGTATTCACTTATAAAACTAAACCATGCCCATCCTTGCAGGCTAAGCCCACTGAGGTATTCACTTATAAAACTAAACCATCTCCATCCTTGCAGGCTAAGCCCACTGAGGTATTCACTTATAAAACTAAACCATCTCCATCCTTGCACGCAAATCCCACTGAGGTATCACTTAAAAAACTAAACCATCTCCATCCTTGCAGGCTAAGCCCACTGAGGTATTCACTTATAAAACTAAACCATCCCCATCCTTGCAGGCTAAGCCCACTGATGTATTCACTTATAAAACTAAACCATCCCCATCCTTGCAGTCAAAGCCCACTGAGGTATTCACTTATAAAACTAAACCATCTCCATCCTTGCAGGCAAATCCCACTGAGGTATTCACTTATAAAACTAAACCATCCCCATCCTTGCAGGCTAAGCCCACTGAGATATTCACTTATAAAACTAAACCATCTCCATCCCTGCAGGCTAATCCCACTGAGGTATTCACTTATAAAACTAAACCATCCCCATCCTTGCAGGCAAAGCCCAATGAGGTATTCACTTATAAAACTAAACCATCCCCATCCTTACAGGCTAAGCCCACTGAGGTATTCACTTATAAAACTAAGCCATCCCCATCCTTGCAGGCTAAGCCCACTGAGATATTCACTTATAAAACTAAACCATCTCCATCCTTGCAGGCTAATCCCACTGAGGTATTCACTTATAAAACTAAACCATGCGCATCCTTGCAGGCAAAGCCCACTGAGGTATTCACTTATAAAACTAAACCATCTCCATCCTTGCAGGCTAAGCCCAATGAGGTATTCACTTATAAAACTAAACCATCCCCATCCTTGCAGGCAAAGCCCACTGCGGTATTCACTTATAAAACTAAACCATCTCCATCCTTGCTGGCAAATCCCACTGAGGTGTTCACTTATAAAACTAAACCATGCGCATCCTTGCAGGCTAAGCCCACTGAGGTATTCACTTATAAAACTAAACCATGCGCATCCTTGCAGGCTAAGCCCACTGAGGTATTCACTTATAAAACTAAACCATCTCCATCCTTGCAGGCTAAGCCCAATGAGGTATTCACTTATAAAACTAAACCATCCCCATCCTTGCAGGCAAAGCCCACTGCGGTATTCACTTATAAAACTAAACCATCTCCATCCTTGCTGGCAAATCCCACTGCGGTATTCACTTATAAAACTAAACCATCTCCATCCTTGCAGGCTAAGCCCACTGAGGTATTCACTTATAAAACTAAACCATGCGCATCCTTGCAGGCTAAGCCCACTGAGGTATTCACTTATAAAACTAAACCATCTCCATCCTTGCAGGCTAATCCCACTGAGGTATTCACTTATAAAACTAAACCATGCCCATCCTTGCTGGCAAATCCCACTGAGGTATTCACTTATAAAACTAAACCATGCCCATCCTTCCAGGCTAAGCCCACTGAGGTATTCACTTATAAAACTAAACCATGCCCATCCTTGCAGGCTAAGCCCATTGAGGTATTCACTTATGAAACTAAACCATGCCCATCCTTGCAGGCTAAGCCCACTGTGGAATTCACTTATTCTTCAGAAGTGACCTGGCCAAAGATGATAGCTCAACAAAGATCCCGAAAGGATGGATCCATCATCTCGTGGACGCCAATGGCACACCCAGGGTAACGGAGAGGTTTGGGGGGGGGGGGGAGACAGAGGCCCGCTGCGCGGTGCGTGCCGGGCGGCTCCGTGCCGATCGGTGTCCCTCCCGTCGGCAGGGAGCAGTTCCACAGCGGGGACAGCATCCCCACGCACGCGTGTGTGCTGTCGCCCGGCCTGGTGCGCGCCGAGGTGCACATGCTCAAGACCGACTTCAACAAGCGCATCAAGGAGATCCTCTTTAATTCGCTGTTCAGCGCCTACTACGTCGCCTTCCTGCCGCTGTGCTTCGTCAAGGTGAGCGTCTCTGCTCCACTGGGTGAACCCCCTCCCTCCCTCCCCCTCCCTCCCCCCTCCCTCCCCCCCTCCCTCCCCTCCTCCCCTCCCTCCCCCCCCCCTCCCCGCCATGGTTGACCGCGGTGTACCCGCTGCGGCACAGCGGTGTGCGCCTGGCGCCTGTGCCGCGAGCTGAATCCATCGCTTCGTCTCCTCGGGGCGCGTTGCCTCCCTCGGCTGCCACCCTCGATCACCAAGTCGTCTTCGTCGTCATCGTCACAGTCAATGAAATGAGTGCTCTGAACACACCGGTTGACGTCGGGGAATGCGTTCATGAAAACTGCGATGACAGATATGTAAACGACGTTTACAGGGCAGTAGTGGGTGGTGGAAGCGAAGGCTGAGAGAAGGGACGGATAACGAGAAAGGATGGACGACAATGCTGTCAGTGACGTAAGTGCCGGGTGGGGGCGACGAGAATCTGGTAGCGGTGTTAATAATAATAATAATAAAGTGACGATGTGTTTACGAAACGACGCAGAAGGGGGAGACGTAAATCGGGCTGTGACTGTACTCGGTTTCCGAGCTCACTATCTGATGAAACTCGAAACAGTTTGAGCGAAACGTTGATGCTAAGAGCGTTATTCCATCAATGCATTGGCACGTATAAATAATATCTTGGTAAACACGAATGGTAAAGTGGCTACAGGAACCCTCGTTTTAAGTGAAACGTGAGTGCAACTTTTCATGAAGTCAGTCGTGGTCACTTTTCCTCACTGTCTCACTCAATCTAAAGACCGTGTGCATGTTTGAGCGTGCGTGTGTGCGTGCGTGTGTGCGTCAGCCAAAACCACTGACGATTATCTGATCTGATCTTGGGCCTCCCCTAGGTCAACTCGGCCGCAAGTGAGTACTCCTTCGAGTGCTGACCCAGCCTTCATACGTGCTCGCTAACAGCACCTACCCCCCAAAAGGCTACACGGGGGACGTTTGTCGTCCACAGAGCACGCAGTACTACGACATGCGCTGGTCGTGCGAGCACCTCATCCTGGTGTGGGTGAACACCTTCGTGATGCTCACCTCGCAGCTGCTGCCGCCGCGCTACTGCGACCTGCTTCACCGCGCCGCCACCCACCTGGGCCGCTGGCACCGCCTGGAGAGCGGCGCCTACAGCCACACGCCACAGCACGCGTACGCCAGCCGTGCACATGGCACCCACACGACACCCACACGCCACCCACACGACACCCACACGCCACCCACACGCCACCCACACGACACCCACACGACACCCACACGCCACCCACACCACCCATGCGGCACCCACACGGTACCCACACGGCACCCACACAGTACCCATACGTCCATCACACATTACCCACACGCCACTCACTTGGCACCCACAAGACATCCACGAGACACCCACGTGGCTCTCACACATCACCCACGTGGCACCCACGTGGCACCCACGTGGGTGCTATGTGTGCGCCACGTGGCACCCACGTGGCGCACACACGCCACCCACGCGGCACCCTGCCGCCCTCCGTACAGTCTCGCTGACGGCTGTCGCCCCACCAGGCTGCTGAGGCCCCGCGGGGGATGTCTGTCTGTCGCCCCGTGCCACCGTGCGCAGTTGGTCGGAGACGACGATCTGGCCCCAGGGAGTGCTGGTGCGGCACAACAAGGGCCTGTACAAGGCCGTCGGCTCCTGCAACGTCGCCGTGCCCTCCGACGCGTCGCACTCGCGCTTCTACGTGAGTGCGCCGCCCGGGGGGGGAGGGGTGAGGTTGGGTGGGGGGGGGCGCCGGCCGCCACGTGCCGCAGCCTTCTTCGACGGGCCTCGGGGGGGCAAACCGCGAGACTCGCCTGAGTCAAACGCTGCGCGTGGAGACGGCCGGCTCTGCGGTCCGCTCGCCGCTTGGGTTATTTTTACCGTACTTCACCACGCTGGTTTCGGTTCGCGTTTGGCACACGCAGAGAGAGCATAGGTGTCGGTGCATTGGAGTACAGCAAAATAGTACAGGACGTGTTCAACTCCGCCTGACGTCCCACGGTGTGACGGCACCGGTGTACGTTGGGGTGATTTTGAGGGAGATCAAGGCGCTAGTTTATAAATGTCACACTGTGGAGTAAGTGGATGGCGGTTTGACTCGCAAAACCCGAACGCACCGTCGTGGGCATTCTTTATATGAGCGTGCCTCCCTTATCAGGGCGGGCGAACACATTACTGAGTGAATTGCGCTTCTCATCGGGTATATGCGCTATGCCGAAGGTTACAGAAACTGGTATGTGCCATAGGGATGTGGAATTTTCACCGCTGCGTCCCTCTCCGCCACTTGCTGATGAAAGGCAAATCGATATTAGGAAGCCACTGGAGCTATGCATTTATAAATGATCTCGATGGAAAACAAGAGTCTTTAGAAGTGCTTTTTCTGTTTAGTTTGTTGTCCTTTCCCAGCAACTCCGACTTGTACAACAATGGAAACATTTTAAATCGATTCCATCGGAACGGGTGGCACACTTTTCCCGTTTGACGCGGCCGTTCCCCGCGCGCGTTCCCCCAGTTTCTCTTCCACAAGCCGCTGAGGGTGCTCAACTCGCTGCTGGCGCTGGAGGGCGGCGTCGTGGTGTACCAGCTGTACTGGCTGGCGCGCTCGGACCGCTGGAACCACGCCCTGTCGGCCGCGCTGCTCCTCTTCGCCAACTACTGCCTCGTGTTCCGCCTGCTGCGGGACCGCCTGCTGCTGGGGCGCGCCTACGGCCGCGACTCGCCCCACGCCGCCGCCCACGCGGCCGGCGGCTCGGCCGTCGGCTGAGCCGCCGGGCGGTCGCGACGCCGGCGCCCGGGCTCCCGGCGCCGCCCCCTCGTCCCCCCTCGCCCCCCCTCCCCAGCGACGCGCACCAACGCGTGAACCCGGAGAGCGGAGGCGACGCGTGCGACCGCATCGTCCCCCGCTCCGACGAAGGTGCGGCGCGAACGTGACTTGGCCTCGTCTTGTAAATATGGAGCGATGTTTCCCCCCGACGAGACTTTTGAAAGGAAGATGCGACCGAGCGGCTCTCGCGTTGTGGACGCGTGGGTAAGCCCCCCCCCCCACCATGCCGCGTCCCAGGCCGAGCGTTCTCTCGCGAAGTCGGGGGACGGCTCGAGAGCGCTCCGTCTCCCCGGCCGCCAGTCTCGCGAGGAAAACTCGGAGGGCGGGAGGGGGGTTGTGGGAAATGCGGCCGCGTTCGTTGCCCGGCTCGCCTGTCGGCGGCGAGGATCGTCGTGCGGCGGTTCCCGGTGCTCCTGCGGTAACTTTGTGTGCGGGGACACGCCGGTATCTCCCCTGCCGCGTCGATGAGCCCTCCGTCAGTGACGCCTCGCCTTCAAAGTCGGCGCCTCGGCCAGTTTTCTGATCGGCACGTCGCCGCACTGCCGCGGCTGCCACCGTGCCCGCCATGCGGCGCCGAGTTTTGAGCGGCGTAGTCGGTGTGTGTGCTGTAAGAGGCGTGTGTAGATGTGTATATGTGTAAGAGGCGTGTGTAGATGTGTATATGTGTAAGTGGTGTGTGTAGATGTGTATATGTGTAAGTGGTGAGCGAGTCAGGCCCCTGCTGGATGAGAGCCTCCCCTCCCCCACAAAGGTGCGGGTCATGTGAACATACTTTACCGCGTCGGCCGGCTGGTGAAGGCGGGGAGCATAGATAGTCCTTGTAGAATAGAAGTAGAGTACAACAATGGAGTTGGCTGCAGCTTTCCCCTGCCGACAGCTTCGCCTTATCAGCGTGGGGCAGTGCAGGTGCCTCGACCAGTATTCAGCGTCGTGGCCGGACACGGTCCTAGCGGGTAAGAAGCACACGCATCACCCGCTGAGCCGATTCACCCGCTGCACACGCTGCACACGCTGCACCCGCTGCACACGCTGCACGTTCTTGATGCAATCGGCATGTTGGTGGTTACGAGCGCCAGCTGGAAGCTTCGCAGCCATCTTCCACCACCGGTTCGCACGTCACAGGCTGACCCCTCTGGGCGTGACGCTCGTTGGCTTTCCACATTGCCCCCCCCCCCCTCTCTCATGCAAGTGTTTCTTAAGAGCGGCGTTGGAGCGGTCCCCACGAGGCCGGCGACCGTGGGGAAGACCTAGGGCCGGCTGGTCGGACACCGTCATCAGGGCTGATCTTTCTTGGAGGTCGCTGCGTGATCGGACGGAGGGTGGAGGGCGTTGGCAGTGAGGTTTATCTCGCGAATGTCGATACGAGGTGACCGTGCAGGGCAACATATGCGGAGCATTAAAAAACAAGTCCGCTTGAGAGGATGCGCGCACGCAGTCGCCACGCGGCAGCCCCCACCGCCTCCGGCACGCCACGGCCGCCTCAACGGACGGGTCACCGGCGAGATCCTTGGTGGCGCGCTCGGCACCAGGACGGGGGCTGGGTGCTGGGACTTGACACACGGGGACTGGGACTTGACACACGGGGGCTGGGTGCCAGGACTTGACACACAGGGGCTGGGTGCTGGGACTTGACACACGGGGGCTGGGTGCCAGGACTTGACACACGGGGGCTGGGTGCCAGGACTTGACACACGGGGACTGGGTGCGAGGACTTGACACACGGGGACTGGGTGCGAGGACTTGACACACGGGGACTGAGTGCCAGGACTTGACACACGGGGGCTGGGTGCCAGGACTTGACACACGGGGACTGGGTGCGAGGACTTGACACACGGGGGCTGGGACTTGACACACGGGGACTGGGTGCTGGGACTTGACACACGGGGGCTGGGACTTGACACACGGGGGCTGGGTGCCAGGACTTGACACACGAGAGCTGTGGGGTTTGGCCTCATTGCTGCCGATGTGGCTCTCACGGTGACATTGCCGCCCGTGTGTTCACACGTTGTGTGTCAGCTGATCGAGTCCGGGCGCGTGCGACATTGTGATTCAAGACACGTTCTGTACAATTGCCTCATGTTGGTGTCATATAAATGTACTAATAATAATGATAAGCATGTAAGATTTCACAGCTCTTTTGTCAAACCACTGCTCGGTGAAGGGCTGCGCTCGCCTGTCAATCCTGACGGCTGTTTGACCATACTTCACCACGCTGGTCAATGCGAGGGGGGGGCAGGACCGGTTGATATCACTCCGCTGCTGGTGTCGGTGGTGGCCGCGAATCCAAAGTCCCGTCGGCAAGTTCAAAGCGCAGCGCGCTAACCACTGCAGCGCCATTCCCTCCGCCTCGATAAACCTACTTGGAACGTGGCGTGGGAGCGGCCGTTTCTGTTGAATGTTTGGAGGCAGTGGGCCTGCGTGCCTCCCCTCTCAGCGCACTAATAAACTTAAACTTAACTATTCTTGTTTCTTTCGGTAAAGTCACGTAGAAGGGAAACAAAATAATAAAAATATAAAACAATAAAATTCTCACGACGTTTCGACTGCAACACAAGCAATCATTATCAGGTGTGAAAACCACAACAAGAAAATTTGAAAACATGTTCTTGTTGTGAAGGAAAATTTGAAAAAAAATTATTGTTGTGGTTTTCGCATCTGATGATGATTGCTTGTGTTGCAGTCGAAACGTCGTGAGAATTGTATTGTTTTATATTTTTATTATTTTATTGTTTCCCTTCTACGTGACTTTACCGAAAGAAACAAGAATATGAATCCCTGCAGTCACGAAAGCTTTAAATCAAAATGTAAACTGAACTGTTTTTCATTTTACCTGGTAAGAGCCACTGAGCTACGCAGCTCTCGTTTCAGAAGCGACCTGGCCCCAAATGATAGCTCAACGAAGTTGCTTATCACCACTTGGACATTTATAGCCGCCAAATACTCTTTAATGCACGTCGATTCTAAATGTGGACCCGAAAACCGGAGAATCCCGGAGGAACAATCGCACTTGAAAGGAAACGCGCAGATAACACGCCGCCTTCTCCTCCCCACATCTGCCCCTTTTTTGCTTAAACGAGTGCAAACCTTTACGTTACACATCCCGTCAGCCACAGGGCCTCCTTAGAGTGCATTACATCAGCAGCGTTGGTTCGGACGCAAGCAAAACTCTGGGCCGGTTTCGGCGCCTCATCCCGGGAGTCCAGAGCTCGCTCGGCCCCTCGCCGGTTAACTGCCGGGCGCGCGACGGCCGTGGGCTCCGATGGCCGCGGCGCGCCAACGCCGTGGTGGTGTTGGCGACGGCGACGCTGAGCCCATTCCAGTCCACGATTGTGAACCTCCGCCGGCACGGCCCCCGTCACTTCCGCGATGCCGCGTTTTTCGCGCTGGAGGTTCGTGCCTTTTTTGATGGCGCCTCATGCTTAGTGCCCCGCCGAGAGAAGCACGCGGCGTTCTGTGGCCGGGTGCCGGCGTTTGCCGTTCGGGCGACTCGCGCGAGGCTTACCGCTTTTATTTTTAAAGAATGCTAGGTGAATATATTTTTGTATATTTTTTAATTAATTATTTTTTATTGTTTATGGGCCACGGTTAGCGTTGGCGAGATATTTTTTTCCTCCCCAGGTTGCGATGTAACGTTCCGATGCACCGCGGTCGACGATTGCTTTGCGTCGAGTGCTTTTAAAAGTGCAGTATTGGAGGAGGCTGTTGTACGTCGCTGCATTGGCAGCTGGGCGCAAGCAACAATGAACGCTGCACTAAAAAGGAAATACCGTAACAGGTGACGTTTTTGAGAAATGGGCCTTTTGATCATCTCACTTTGGATAGATGGAGCATTTTATATTTTTGAAAGATTTGTCTGACACGCTATATACCTGCTCGTGGGTCACAGCTCGTAAGCGAGTCGAATACTTAATTTGGCAACGTTCTTCAAGCATATTTTCCATCGGGGCCCCTTGGTATGTATGTATGTTGAACTACGTATGGCGTGTGCCTTGCAGTCTCAAACTCTTATTCACTCAATCTGTCTGGTCACTCGCTGTCTGATATGAACAAGGGCAAGTGACCGAAACGTTACCTATTATGTATTTATATTTCCTGTTCAGGCCACGGTGCTATTGACTAACGCGTTGAATCGAGAGTCATCGCTCGAGTGATGTCAGTATTGAGAAGGGGGCAGGTGTTTGGGTAGAGCTTGTGATGTTCAGGTGGCCAGTGGGTGCTGTTGGGTTCACGCTAAGGCCCGTATTCTTAAGTCACGGCTCGGCACAGGCTTTCTGACTCGAGCGAGCCGACTCAACGGCACTCGCTTAGCTTGAGCCGGCTCCGAGCCCGGCCCCAGGCAGGCTCGAGATTTCCATGGAGCCGAGACCGAGCCGAGACCGAGCCGAGCCACGGCGGGGGCCGCTCTCGCTCATGCGTCTTTGGAAAGCAACCGGGCGGCTCAAGCGCTGGAGGCTAAGCCAGCGCCGTGATGAAGGATGCAGCCCGACCTCCCTCCGATGTTTTCTCTTGGGTGGGGGGGTCGGGGCGAAGTGTGGAGCCCGTGCTTCGGGGTCCGACTCCGCTTCTTCGCAGCTGTTGCCGCTGGCTACGGCGACCGTCGTTAACGTTCGCGTCCCGTCGGCGTGGCGTCTCCGGCGGAAACTCGGCAGCCTGGACCGCCAGGGGCTGTGGGTGACGCGCTGTCGCCACCGCTCCTGATCATCGTGTGCCCTCGCTCGCCGCTCTGTCCGTACGTTTGCTGAACGCATTTCGCACCGTACGTAGCCAACTCTTCTATTGGAGGCGCTTCCGATGCTCTGCTCCGCTGCCTCGCTCTTGTGTACGCTGTGCCAAGGTGCTCTCAGGGTCATAGCGTCGATAGTCACAGTGCCGAGGCCCGGCTGTCTGAGAGTATTTGGCTGCTCTAAATTTCCACTTTGTTGAGTTATAATTAGTGGCCAGGTCGTGTCTCAAAAAGAGCAACATAGCTCAGTGGGGCCTTACCTGGTAGTAAAAAAAACACGTTTTAGTTTATAGTCTCTGCTGCTGCTGCTGCTGCTGCAAACCCATTGTATCGATATCACTTGAGGAAGCATGATGCAAAAAAACATCGCGCGAGGACTGTGGCTGTCGGGACGAGAAGCGTCGTGAGGGTCGCACAGCCCTCGCGATGGACTCTTGGGGGTCGAGGCGTGGGACACCGCTCAAGGGGCTCGGCTGAGGACTCGTTGAAGCATGTGTCAGTGTTGTGGCTGCAACGCCGGCTCTGGTTGTGCTGTCGTCGTTTACCCGAGGTGTGGCGTTGCGATTAAGGTGACAGCAGTCCTGGAATCGGCGTCTCTGTGTCCGAGTAGCGGGGATTGATTTGTACCGAGATTTGCACCGGCGTTGCGTTGAACTTCACGACAGTGGACCGCACAGTTTTTTGATAGACCTTGGCCGAGTGAGAATTCAGGTCTGGGATTGGTCCGCGGTGGGAAATGTTGCCAGCGCTAAGTTGCGATCAAGTTTGTCCGACTCAAAGTCACCCACGGGTCGCTGCTCAGACGAGCGATGGAGCCGCGTTGTTCTCCAAGCCGAGCCACAGTGGAGGCTACTCCCTCTTCAGGACATACCCACCGTCCACGTTCCCACAGTGGAGGCTACTCCCTCTTCAGGACAAACCCACCGTCCACGTTCCCACAGCGGAGGCTACTCCCTCTTCAGGACATACCCACCGTCCACGTTCCCGCAGCGGAGGCTACTCCCTCTTCAGGACATACCCACCGTCCACGTTCCCACAGTGGAGGCTACTCCCTCTTCAGGACATACCCACCGTCCACGTTCCCACAGCGGAGGCTACTCCCTCTTCAGGACAAACCCACCGTCCACGTTCCCGCAGCGGAGGCTACTCCCTCTTCAGGACAAACCCACCGCTGGCTCTCCACCAAGTGGTACCAATTCTATCGACCTCCGATTTGTTCGTCGTGCACTCTGACCACACCAACTTTCGGAGCGATGTGTTTGTGAACTGCATTGTTGAACTGCAAAATGTAGAGTGTAGAATTACGTGCGGAATGTTCCCTTGTTCCCCTGAGTGAGAGCAAGAGAGCGTGATTCAGAGGCGTGGGAATCCACAGACAAGTTGCAAGGCAGCCAGAAACGGCCACAGAAATGTACCCAAGCTGTGTGGTCCTACATTGGGGACATCTGTCCAAAGCGTTCACACATCCGGAGCGGTAAGAGCAGCCGAAGTGATGTGTTCGTTAAATCCTGCCTCGTGCAAAGTTCCTCCAAGTGGTGAGTCACTGTGGCGGGATGCTGAGCGCGAGGGGGGGTGGGTGGGTGCATTGGGGTTTACCGGCTTCGTGGGGCCCCGACTCACCGTGGCTTGGCTCGGCTCCAGGCACGCTTCTTCACCCGCAGACACCGGCTGCCCGCGACATTGGCCGTGAAGCGTCGGCGCAGACGTGCCCGTCCTGGAGCCAGTGGCAGGTGAAGGTGAAGGAATGATAGAGGAGCATCAGCGCCAACTGTGGCACCCGCCCGTCGCTCGATAATCCGGGCAAGTAAATCACATTATCTGAGAAACGACTTGGCACGCTCGCCGGTGAATGATGAGGACTTGCCGATGCCCCCACGTTATCTTTGGTATCGACGCGTCCCCCTTGGCTACAGATAGCACCCCCGTATCTCCAGGCCCATTGCCAGCCCCCCCCAGAAGCAAGGTAAAGAGAGGGGGGGGAGACATGCGGTGGCGAGCAGTATTAGTGTGCGAGTGTGCCCGCGGCGAAACTCCCATCGCACCGCCTCCCGAAGGTTGGCTTCGTGTTGACGGGGAGAGAGAAAAAAAACCCCCAAAACTAGGGCATTTGTTACTTTGATTTTGCACCGCGATGGCTTTTTCATTTTAAATGGCCCCTGGAGGAAGGCGGTTGCTGCTGTCTGAGGCACTGAAGATCCGAGGGGGTTTGTCGGCGTGGTTCCCCCGGGGGGGTTCCGGGCTGGGGTCCCTGTGGGCTCGCTGTGGCACGGCTGCTGTCCCGTTGGCGAGGCCCAAGCGGGCGGCAGGCCCAGGGGGACGCGTGGCCTCCACGCCAATCCCCGTTTGTTTTTCTCGACAAAGTTTAATTAACTTGCAATAAATTCTCAATTTCCTCGGTCGTACGTCGCCACTCCGTGACAGTTTGCATTATTCTCCCGTGTTCTGGGCGCTTGAAGTTTGGCGACTAAGCCAGGTGCTGGTGGTGGTGGGGAGCGGTGGTGCAGCGGTTAGCGCTACGCTGCACTACGAACCCGGCGACCCGGGTTCGATTTCCGCTCACGGCCAACGCCAGTGACGATTATCGGAACCGGTCCTGGGCCTCCCCTAGGTCGACTCGGCCTCAAATGAGTACCTGGTGCGATGTGTAAACATCGCCACTGGGAAGACAAAGGCGGTCTGGCGTGGTGCTGGCCACCCACCCCCTCGTGTGCCGTTCCGGCCATCATAGGTGCTCGCTAACAGCACTTGCCTCTGCAGTCTGTTGAGGCTACACGGGGGATGTTTGTCTTTGTTGGCGGTGGTGAGGCTGTGAAAGCGATCCTTGAAGGGCAACGGGACAAAGGGGAACGGCGGAATCGTGACGGTGGGAGACGCAGCTGCGAGGGCGGCGGAGATCGGGCGCGTTTCACGGAGCCGTGCCGGCGTCAAGGGCATCGCGTGGCTTGGCTCCGCTCGTCTCCGAGTTGATTGTTTCCAGTGGATGAAAGATGGTTTTGGTTTCACGCTCGCCAGGGCTCGTAGCGTCCACATGGGGGGCCACGTCGTCGTCCTCCCGCCCCCTCCCCCCCGCACCTACGATTAGCACGCTTGGCTACGTATCGTGTGAAAGAAGTTCAACGTGGACACGTCGCGTCCTGCCTCGACACTCTGGCGGCCGCAAGCCTTCGGACGGCACCGCTCAGCCGTGCCCCCGGGGGGGTCGTTACATGCATTGTCGGCAGTGAGTGGCATGGGGCAGTTGTGGCACATTGAGAATCCGGCCTTCGCCTCGGGTGGGGGTCCTGTTGGGGGGACCCGGTGGGGGGGGTCCTGGTGGGGGGTCCTGGTGGGGGGTGGGTACTGGTGGGAGGGGGGGTCCCGGTGGGGGGTCCTGGTGGGGGATCCTGGTGGGAGGCGGGGGGAGGGTCCCGGTGGGGGGGGCCCGGGTGGGGGGAGGTCCCGGTGGAGGTGCCTGGGAGGGGGGGGGTCCCAGTGTGGGGGGGGCATCCCTATTGTGGGGGGCGTCCCTATTGTGGGGGGCGTCCCTATTGTGGGGGGGCATCCCTATTGTGGAGGTCATCCCTATTGTGGGGGGGGTCATCCCTATTGTGGGGGGCTCGGTGGGGAGCGCCAGGATCCAAGCCGCTCTGGCTCGGCACTGCACCTGGAGCCTCCCCGCCAGCCCCCCGCCGGCCCCCCGCCGGCCCCCCGCCGGCCCCCCGCGTGGCGTCTCCCCCCCCCCTTCTGCTTGGCGGTGCGCTCCGAGTTTTACTGCGTTCACAACAAGCGTCTCGCGTGTGATTGCTGCGGTTCTCATCGGTTTTTACTGCACACTGCGTTTTGTCCCTATTTAATGTGTATTAAATACGTGTGTGCATCGTAACGGCTGCATGTTTGGTTGATTACAATCGCGTTATGCTGCTGCTGCTGATTCACCTTGGCGTTGGCGCCGTGCCGCACAGCGACGCTGCTGGACCCAGCGCTGTCGTCTTCCGTCAACATTCCTGGCTCGGGTTGTTTGCCGCTCGCCGCGCCACCGATTGGCACGGTTGGCCACGCGCGGCGCCACATGAGTTTGACGCACGCACGCACGGTAACGACGATGGCTTTCGCGCAGGCTAAGCCTCGCTTGAATCTCGAGATTCGTTTGTCACGAGTGAGCGTTTGTGGCACGTGGGAGCAGAGCGGAGCACCCTGGAGGGGGGGTTGGGGAGGTAACAGGGCCACGTGGAGGCAGCTCTGGCTCTCGTGATGCACCCATCGCGGCTTTGCAAGTCCACTTGGAAGCGAGCCATCGACGAGAGTGCCGTCAACGGCCGCCGTCGTGGGCTGTCGTGGACGCGATGCCGGGTGGGGGCGGCGGCAGTAGGTGGTGGTTGATGCGTGCGCGTCTGCTGCCGAGCCGAGAGTGCGAAATGCTGCCCGTTGAGTGTTTAACGCTGTGACTGATTGCTCATGAAGACAACAAACATGGCACTTCAGTGCTACATCATCGTGGCGACTTTTTTTTTAAATCTCCAGTTAGTTGAGTCGACGGTGATCGCGAACTGCAGAAGGAAACAATTCCAACAACGCCATCTGTGGGCAAACACAATCCCAATTGAGGACGGAGAGACGTCTTGGCCAGCGGTGGAAAGAGTTGGCCACTGCGAGAGCCTCCCACTGCAGAGCAGATAACCCCGGGGCAAAGGCCACGCCTGTGAGTGGGGCCGGGGCGACTCTGGCTCTCGAGGTGCACGCATCGCGGCCAAGCAAATCGACGGTCACCGCCGTGGGCTGTCGTGGACGCGATGCCGAGTCCGGGGAGCAGCAGGAAGCGACTCAGGCCGCGCTCAAATTAGAAACGAGGGACGAAATGCCCCCCTCCCATCCACCCAGTGCCCGGACCAGTACACCTGGAGAGCTGCTCGAAAGGGAGACGTTTTGCAGGCAGTTGTGAGGTGGCCGGACCAGACCTCGTGGGGGGGGCGGGGCGCATCCGCCCTCGATGGGCGGAGCATTTCCCTTTTGCCACACGCGAGGTGAAAGTTCGCTGGGTTCAAGTCGCGGTGTTCTACCCTGGAGGCGTCAGCAGGCGGCGGCACAGACACACACAAAGACAAAGATACAAAGATCCCCCATATAGCCTTAACAGACTGTAGGGGCAAGTGCTGTTAGCGAGCACCTATGAAGGCCGGAACGGTACACGAGGGGGTGGGTGGCCAGCACCACGCCCGACCGCCTTTGTCTCCCCAGTGGCGATGTTTACACACCGCACCAGGTACTCATTTGAGGCTGAGTCGACCTAGGGGAGGCCCGAGACCGGTTCAGATAATCGTCACTGGTGTTGGCCGTGAGCGGGAATCGAACCCGGGTCGCCAGGTTCATAGCGCAGCGCGCTAACCGCTACACTATCGCTCCCCACAAAAGGCACACAGGCACGCAGACACACACACACACAGGCACGCAGACACACAGGCACACAGACACACAGACACACACACACAGACACACAGGCACACACGCACACACGCACACAGGCACACACAACAACAACAACAACCGCCATTCACCACTAAGTGGCGGTGACGTCACCACGACGCTTGTGCCAGGCTATGTGCACCCTGAGGCCACGTGAAGTGTCGAACGCCCGCTGGCAGGAGGTCACGGGGCAGACCCAGGTGCCACGGGTCGACTGACTGAGATGACTGGCTGATGCACCACCTGTGCCCCCTACTGTGCCAACCTGCTGTGCTTTAGCCACCCGGCGCTCCGCTCGCTGTTGTGAGCGTCGCTCCTCCGCCCTCCGTTGGTGTTGGAGGGCGACTGCCTCCAACTGCCCAGTAGCATCCTTCACGAGCCTCCTCCACAGAGGCCGATCTTGAAACCGCTGGTACCAGTCATCGGCAAGTCCACTCAGCTCCACGTCCTCCTGTACCACATCACTCCATCTCTTCTCTAGCCCGTGCCGCGCCCGCTTAGCCCCCTCAATCCGGCCAAACAAAAGCTGCTTCGGCATGCGGTGGCTGGGCATGCGGGCTACATGACCCAGCCATCGCAGCCTTGCCTGCCGGAGGAGCTCACCGATGGGACCCTGCCCAGATCTTTCAAGGATTTGTGAGCTCCTCACACAATCCAGTCTGGTTAAACCCAGGATGGATCGTAGGCAGGCCAGCCTAAATGTTTCCAACCGGCGAAGATGTTCCATTAGGGGGGTCACACAGACACACGCACACAGGCACACGCGTACACAGACACACGCACACAGGCACACAGACACACACGCACACAGACACACGCGCACACAGGCACACAGACACACACGCACACAGACACACGCACACAGGCACACGCGTACACAGACACAGACACACGCACAGACACACAGACATACAGGCACACGCACACAGACATAGGCACGCACGCACACAGACACACAGGCACACGCACACAGGCACACACGCACACAGGCACACACGCACACAGGCACAGACACACGCACACAGACACACGCACACAGGCACACGCGTACACAGACACACAGGCACACAGACACACACGCACACAGACACACGCACACAGGCACACAGACACACACGCACACAGACACACGCACACAGGCACACGCGTACACAGACACACACGCACAGACACACAGACATACAGGCACACGCACACAGACATAGGCACACACGCACACAGACACACAGGCACACGCACACAGACATAGGCACACACGCACACAGACACACAGGCACACGCACACAGACATAGGCACACACGCACACAGACATAGGCACACACGCACACACACACACAGGCACACGCACACAGACACAGACACACAGGCACACACGGACCCGAGCGTTTGTCCTCGCATCGATTTGCCAACCCGGGTTGTTCGACCATACTTCACCACGCTGGTCGACGCGTGTTGGGTGAAACGGTGGGGGAACTCCCCATGACCGCTTTAGATGCCACTCCGGTGTGATCATCGCACAATACGCTAACCACTGCGCCACCGCTCTCTCATCTTGTAGAGATACTCAACTTTTATTTTATCAGGTAAGGCTCGCTGAGCTAGGAGCTATTTTTCAGAAGCGACCTGGCAACATTATGCCACAACGAAGTGACTGACCATCACGTGGAAATTTATCGCAGCCAAATACTCGGAACTCGTGATGTTGATTCTAAATGTGGAGGGACAAACCGGAGGACCCAGAGAAAAATCCACGGGGGAAGAGAGAGAGAGACACGCAAACTCCAAATTCACAGCAGCAGGCGTCAGGGTCTGAATCAAACCCACAACCTCGTGTATACCAGGCGAGGTGGTTATCATCTCCTAGCCACCGTGGTGCCAACATATATTGTGGCCTGCGCTGGGATAGTTTGAAGCTGATTTTTTTGTAGTCCGATAAGAACTCAAGAAAACCGGGAATGAGTCCATCTAGAGTGACCTGGGGTTACTCATCTAGAGTGGCCTGGGGTTATTCATCTAGAGTGACCTGGGGTTACACATCTAGAGTAACCTGGGGTTATTCATCTAGAGTGACCTGGGGTTACTCATCTAGAGTGACCTGGGGTTACACATCTAGAGTGACCTGGGGTTACTCATCTAGAGTGACCTGGGGTTACTCATCTAGAGTGACCTGGGGTTACACATCTAGAGTGACCTGGGGTTACACATCTAGAGTGACCTGGGGTTACACATCTAGAGTGACCTGGGGTTACTCATCTAGAGTGACCTGGGGTTATTCATCTAGAGTGACCTCGGGGTTACACATCTAGAGTGACCTGGGGTTACACATCTAGAGTGACCTGGGGTTACACATCTAGAGTGAACTGGGGTTACTCATCTAGAGTGACCTGGGGTTACTCATCTAGAGTGACCTGGGGTTACACATCTAGAGTAACCTGGGGTTACTCATCTACAGTGACCTGGGGTTACACGTCTAGAGTGACCTGGGGTTACTCATCTAGAGTGACCTGGGGTTACACATCTAGAGTGAACTGGGGTTACTCATCTAGAGTGACCTGGGGTTACTCATCTAGAGTGACCTGGGGTTACACATCTAGAGTAACCTGGGGTTACTCATCTACAGTGACCTGGGGTTACACGTCTAGAGTGACCTGGGGTTACTCATCTAGAGTGACCTGGGGTTACACATCTAGAGTGACCTGGGGTTACTCATCTAGAGTGACCTGGGGTTACACATCTAGAGTGACCTGGGGTTACTCATCTAGAGTGACCTGGGGTTACTCATCTAGAGTGACCTGGGGTTACTCATCTAGAGTGACCTGGGGTTACACATCTAGAGTGACCTGGGGTTACACATCGAGAGTGACCTGGGGTTACTCATCTAGAGTGACCTGGGGTTACACATCTAGAGTGACCTGGGGTTACTCATCTAGAGTGACCTGGGGTTACTCATCTAGAGTGACCTGGGGTTACACATCTAGAGTGACCTGGGGTTACACATCTAGAGTGAACTGGGGTTACTCATCTACAGTGACCTGGGGTTACTCATCTACAGTGACCTGGGGTTACTCATCTAGAGTGACCTGGGGTTACTCATCTACAGTGACCTGGGGTTACTCATCTACAGTGACCTGGGGTTACTCATCTAGAGTGACCTGGGGTAACACATCTAGAGTGACCTGGGGTTGCTCATCTAGAGTGACCTGGGGTTACACATCTAGAGTGACCTGGGGTTACACATCTAGAGTGACCTGGGGTTACACATCTAGAGTGACCTGGGGTTACTCATCTAGAGTGACCTGGGGTTACACATCTAGAGTGACCTGGGGTTACACATCTAGAGTGACCTGGGGATACACATCTAGAGTGACCTGGGGTTACACATCTAGAGTGACCTGGGGTTACTCATCTAGAGTGACCTGGGGTTACACATCTAGAGTGACCTGGGGTTACACATCTAGAGTGACCTGGGGTTACTCATCTACAGTGAACTGGGGTTACACATCTAGAGTGACCTGGGGTTACTCATCTAGAGTGACCTGGGGTTACACATCTGCTGCTCGTAGGGGGGCAATGATTGCTGCTGCTGTTGTTTGCGTGACTCCAATTGGGTCATTTGCGGTGTAAATCTTCGAATGTGGCATAATCTGGACCTCTGAGGCCGGCATACGACGTTCTACTCCTGCGAATGACGCCACGGGGATCCTTAAACGTCTCCCCGCGAAGCGGATGACCTCAATTATAACTCCCATGATCGCAACCGCAGTAATAATAATCGGGGCGGCCCGCCCGATTCCAACCGCCCCCACCCCCCCCCCCAAGTGACCTCTGCCACAAGCGGCGAGCGCGCGACTCGCCGCTTCGCCTCGCGTCGCCGGCCACGTGGGAGGTGGAGGATCGCGCCGTCCGCCACGTGCCGGCCACGTGGTGCGACGCGGCCGCTAATCGCGCCCCCTCGACGCCCCCTCGACGCCCACAGCGGCCGTGGGTGGCGTCCCGGGGGCCGCTGTGGCGTGAGCTGCTGGACGGCTTCACCCGTGGCGGCTCGCGCCCCCTTCACCGTTGTCCAAGCCTCCGAGGCGCCATGGGGGCCGTGCGCATTCATCCGCATGGTAACGAGGCCTCGTCCCCAGGGTGGGGGTGGGGGTGGGGGTGGGGGTAAGGGTGGGGGTAAGGGTGGGGGTAGGGGTAAGGGTGGGGGTAGGGGTAGGGGTGGGGGTGGGGGTAGGGGTGGGGGTAGGGGTGGGGGTAGGGGTGAGGGTAAGGGTGGGGGGTAAGGGTGGGCGTAGGGGTAGGAGTGGGGGGTAGGGGTGGGGGTAAGGGTGGGGGGTAGGGGTGGGCGTAGGGGTGGGGGTAAGGGTGGGGGGTAGGGGTGGGGGGGTAGGGGTGGGCGTAGCGGTAGGGGTGGGTGGTAGGGGTGGGCGTAGGGGTGGGGGTAAGGGTGGGGGGTAGGGGTGGGGGTAGGGGTGGGCGTAGGGGTGGGGGTAAGGGTGGGGGGTAGGGGTGGGGGTAGGGATGGGTGGTAGGGGTGGGGGGTAGGGGTGGGGAGTAGGGGTGGGGTAGGGGTGGGGGTGAGGGTGGGTGGTAGGGGTGGGGGGTAGGGGTGGGGGGTAGGGGTGGGGGGTAGGGGTGGGTGGTAGGGGTGGGGGTAGGGGTGGGGGTCAGGGTGAGGGATCGTGTAGGGTGTGTTGGGTTGGGTGTGTGTACGATTATGTAAACCGGTCCTGGGCCTCCCCAAGGTCGACTCAGCCTTAAATGAGTACCTGGTGCGGAGTGTAAACATCGCCACGAGAGAAACAAAGGCGGTCGGGCGGGGTGCTGACCACCCACCCTCTCGTGTACCATCCCGGTCTTCATGGGTGCATACTCACGTACAGCACTTGCCCCAGTAGTATGTCAAGAGCTATACGGGGGCTCTTTATCTCTCTCGTGGTGTTTGGGGGTGGTGCCAGCTGCCTCGTGTGTTCTGGCAGGGGTCACTGCTGTCTCCTCCAGGGACTCGCTCGGATGTTCACATCTCCCGTATTAACGGGGCTATTATCAGCCTCAACGCAACCTTTGCTCTTGCGATTCCGCCCGCCAGGTGTTGCCGTTAGGGGCGAGGAGCGGACTCAGTCATCCATCATGAATCCTAAAGAGGCCGATAATGTAGGTGACACACAATGGAACAATGGAAAATCGGCGATTGTTTTCCTGACGAGTTAGACTCGCCCTTGGCATATCAATGTGCCATTTCCGCCACTTATCCAGTTTTCTAAATATGAGATGAGTGCGGATGCTATTTGGTTCCAGGAGCACACGCACGGCGCATGTGAGCCAAGCCCCGTGCACTGGAGCTGCCTCTAATGCATAAGCATCGCAACACCAAGTGAACACAGCGCTTTTGTTCACACCCGCCCCCCCCCCCCGTCCGTCCACGCAGTGGAACATTCCTCTCCCATGAGCGTTCATAAGCAAGCGCGCTGGACCGCCGCGCCTCATTGGGTGGTTCCCCCTTCTCAGCGCGACCCAAGAAATGCCTCGGAGCTCGCTGCTCCGTCGGACCGAGCGAGCGCTGCCGCCCGGCGCCTCCACCCTCGTGGTCGGTTGAAGACTCCGCGCCGCTGCCTTGTGGCTCGTGCCACGTGTCGGCCGTCTGCTGTGGAGGCGGTGCGGCGATAGTGCAGAGAGGCGGCGATAGTGCAGAGAGGCGGCGATAGTGCAGAGAGGCGGCGATAGTGCAGAGAGGCGGCGATAGTGCAGAGAGGCGGCGATAGTGCAGAGAGGCGGCGATAGTGCAGAGAGGCGGCGATAGTGCAGAGAGGCGGCGATAGTGCAGAGAGGCGGCGATAGTGCAGAGAGGCGCCCAGCGCTCACCTCGGAACCACGCAAAGCTGCCGCTCCACAGTCACGGACAGCGGCCGCTTCAGCACCAAGGACAGCGGCCGCCAGCCTCTGCTCAGCATCATTTTGAGCGGCTCGGCACCCCTCGAGTGCTGCTGGCGCTCGCTCCAGTCCCGTGCGTGCACGGCACTTAAAGCCGAGGCGCAGTGCGCTGTAAATACACGCGTCCCGTGCCCGTATACACACACACACACCTCACTCACTCACCATACACACACCCCTCACTCACTCACCACACCTCACTCACTCACCACAAACACCTCACTCACTACACACACCTCACTCACTACACACACCTCACTCACTCACTCACCATACACACACACCCCTCACTCACTCACCACACTCACTCACTCACCACACACACCTCACACACCTCACTCACTCACCACACACACCCCTCACTCACTCACCACACACCTCACTCACTCACCACACACACACACCCCTCACTCACTACACACACACCCCTCACTCACTCACTCACTCACTCACACCCCTCACTCACTCACCACACACACCTCACTCACCACACACACCGCACACACGACACGCTACACGCGCACATAGATAGCCGCTCATTATTATGGACATTGAAATAGGCCGCTGCAGGCGCTGCTTGAGCGGCCAAGTCAGGAGTGTAGAAGCATCGGGTGGTGGCGACCCGCGGCGCGTGCCGCGTAACTCGTCGCGCGCCATGGCAACCGCGCCTGCCCTCTCCCCTCTCATACTTCGCGCCCTCTCCCCCCTGCTGCTGCTGCTGCTGCTGCCGCCGCCTCCGGTCGCGTCTCTGGGCTGCCCCAGGACCTGCGTGTGCGACTCGGGCGGGCGGCTGCCCGTACGATGCGAGAAGCCTCCTCTCTCCCTGCCGCGCGACTCTATCGGCAACGTGAGCGTCCTCGCCATCACGGGCGGCTCCGCGCGGACCCTCGACTGGAACGGCACCCGCCTGCCCAACCTGCGCATCCTCAACCTCAGTCGCAGCGGCATCGAAACTCTCGACCGCGCCTCCTTCCCGGCGCCGCCGCTGTCGCTCGAATCCCTGGACCTGAGCGACAACGGGCTGCGGAACATCTCCCCGGAGGCCTTCGCGGACCTCGGCGAGCTCCGGACCCTGGAGCTGAGCCGCGCGCTCCACGGCGGCTCCGCCTCCGCCGCCTCGGCGCTCCTCGCCGCCGTCTCCAGGGCGCGCCTCGGCAACCTCGCCGTGCTGCGACTGAGCGGCAACGGGATACGCGAGCTGGCGCCCGGGACTCTGTCCGCCCTGCGCGCCCTGGAGGTGCTGGACCTGCGCCGAAACGCCCTGCAGCGTCTCGGCAACGCCACGCTGGAGGAGATGAGCGCCCTGCCGCGGCTCCGCGAGGTGTGGCTGGCGGGCAACGCGTTCGTGTGCGACTGCCGCTTGGCGGAGACGGTGCTGTGGCTCACCGACGGGAACCGGGGCCGGAACAAGGCGAGGGACGCGAACAGCCTCGTGTGCACCGTCTCGCCGGGCTCGCCGTTTGCAGGAGGAGGCGGCGGCGGCGGCGCCTCCCCGGGGCCGACCGCGGTCTTCAACACCACGGCGCAGCTCTCGCTACAGATTCTGCGGGGCTGCGCGAGGGAGCCCGTCGCCTCCTACGTGCTGCTCGGCATCGTGGTGGCGCTCATCGGAGTCATCTTCCTGTTCGTGCTCTACCTCAACCGCAGGGGCATCAAGAAGTGGCTGACGCACATCCGAGACGCGTGCCGCGACCAGATAGAGGAGTACAATTATAGATACGAGCTGGACGCGAACCCGCGCATAGCCAACGTGGTTCCGCCTCTCGAGCTTTGACACCAACGCCTCTCGACTCGTTTTCACTCGAGCGTGCAATCGCGCCGTTCATCACGTGGCGGTGGTTTTTGTGTAACGACCAAGTGGCAAGGTGAGGCCCCCCACTGAGACGGGTGTCTCGCCAAAGCCTTCGCGGTGCACGCGCGATAAGCAACATGCACGGCAAATCAAGGACGTGAGTGCAGAGAAGCGTCCACGCGGGTTTTATTTATTCAAATGCTAAATAATAATAATAACAGGGACGTTTACTTTACAGAGCGGCGTTGCGGCAAATTTGCATCTCAAAGTAACCGAGCAAAGAGTAAAATGCAGCACAGCCGGGAGAAAACCCGTCGTAGTCGCGCGTTGAATGTCCCAACAAGCGAATCGCACTGCGCCGAGTGCAACGCGTTGTCACGTATCCCAACGTTGTCGCGGCTGGGTAACGGCTGCACTTTATCGACCGAGTCATTCGTCTGCGGCAACGTGGGCACGCGGCGTTCAATTTTGGAGACGGTTACCGGAAAATGTTAAATCGTCACGACCGGTGAGAGCAATCGCCCCCCTCCGCCCCCCGCTAGTAGTTTTTGTTTGTCGAGCAAGGGTCTGGAGGGTTAGGGTCTGGAGGAAGGGTCTCGAGGTCTGGAGGGTTAGGGTCTGGAGGGTTAGGGTCTCTGCGTGTACGCGATCAGCTCTCTTGTGTCGGCAGGTTCGCGTCTGGTGGCTATCGTCATCATCGTCGTGATGCGACCATCTGCTCGATCCACTAAAAGGGCCAATTTAGAGTTAATGCGCACGCGCGTTTAGCAACACGTTTAGGAACACGTTTAGGAACAACACGTTTAGGAACAACACGTTTAGGAGCACGTTTAGCAACACGTTTAGCAACACGTTTAGCAACACGTTTAGCAACACGTTTAGCAACACGTTTAGGAACACGTTTAGGAACAACACGTTTAGGAACAACACGTTTAGGAACAACACGTTTAGGAACAGCACGTTTAGGAAGAACACGTTTAGGAAGAACACGTTTAGGAAGAACACGTTTAGGAAGAACACGTTTAGGAAGAACACGTTTAGGAAGAACACGTTTAGGAAGAACACGTTTAGGAAGAACACGTTTAGGAACAACACGTTTAGGAAGAACACGTTAGGAAGAACACGTTTAGGAAGAACACGTTTAGGAAGAACACGTTTAGGAAGAACACGTTTAGGAAGAACACGTTTAGGAAGAACACGTTTAGGAAGAACACGTTTAGGAAGAACACGTTTAGGGAGAACACGTTTAGGAACAACACGTTTAGGAACAACACGTTTAGGAAGAACACGTTTAGGAAGAACACGTTTAGGAAGAACACGTTTAGGAACAACACGTTTAGGAACAACACGTTTAGGAAGAACACGTTTAGGAACAACACGTTTAGGAACAACACGTTTAGGAACAACACGTTTAGGAACAACACGTTTAGGAACAACACGTTTAGGAACAACACGTTTAGGAACAACACGTTTAGGAACAACACGTTTAGGAACAACACGTTTAGGAACAACACGTTTAGGAACAACACGTTTAGGAACAACACGTTTAGGAACAACACGTTTAGGAACAACACGTTTAGGAACAACACGTTTAGGAACAACACGTTTAGGAACAACACGTTTAGGAACAACACGTTTAGGAACAACACGTTTAGGAACAACACGTTTAGGAACAAGAGCCTGGCAGATGCATCAGAGGCTGGAGCTGGCCGGGGCAGCCCTGCGGTGCGACGTCGGTCCCCTTTGAACTCGCGCTGCCCCAGTGAGGGCAGAGTCTCACGCAACGCAGAGCGCTTCCATATCACGTCTCTCTCTCTCTTTGTTCCGTATGTTATAGGGCGAGCAGGCTGGCAGTGCAGTGGCAATGCTCGCTCCTCGCACAGTGAAAAGGGCCTGGGTTCGATTCCTGCCGCGGGTGCCCTTTAAATGTGGAGTCTGTCCGTTCTCTCTCTCTCTCTCTGTACGTTCTCTCTCTCTGTTCTCTCTCTGTACTCTCTCTCTCTGTACGTTATCTCTCTCTGTGTACGTTATCTCTCTGTACGTTCTCTCTCTCTCTGTAGGTTCTCTCTCTGTAGGTTCCCTCTCTCTCTCTGTACGTTATCTCTCTCTCTGTGTACGTTATCTCTCTCTCTCTGTACGTTATCTCTCTCTGTATGTTATCTCTCTGTACGTTATCTCTCTCTGTGTACGTTATCTCTCTCTGTACGTTATCTCTCTCTGTGTACGTTATCTCTCTCTGTACGTTATCTCTCTCTGAACGTTATCTCTCTCTCTGAACGTTATCTCTCTGTGTACGTTATCTCTCTGTACGTTATCTCTCTCTGTACGTTATCTCTCTGTAGGTTATCTCTCTCTCTGTACGTTATCTCTCTCTCTCTCTCTGTCCCTGCATGGGTTGTTTTTCCGGGTTCTCCGGTTTCCTCCCAGAGCAAAAATAAATGCAATGTAATTGGTATTGACCTAACGTCCCAATGCTGAAATATTAGCTGTAAATTACTCAGTTGGCATTGCACACGCAGCAATATCACCCCCGATGGTGAACGTTTAAAAAAGAGCCTCGAGACTCATTGAGGCGTTCCTGTGTAAACAAGCAGAATAATGATGGAAGTTATAAAACATCCACGGGACGCGTGTGTAGGGAGGAGGATCGGGTAGGTAACTTGGAGGTAGTGATGGGTGGGACTCGTGTGTAGGGTGCAGGAGGAGGATCGGGTAGGTAACTTGGAGGTAGTGATGGGTGGGACTCGTGTGTAGGGTGCAGGAGGAGGATCGGGTAGGTAACTTGGTGGTAGTGATGGGTGGGACTCGTGTGTAGGGTGCAGGAGGATAGGGTAGGTAACTTGGAGGTAGTGATGGGTGGGACTCGTGTGTAGGGTGCAGGAGGATAGGGTAGGTAACTTGGTGGTAGTGATGGGTGGGACTCGTGTGTAGGGTGCAGGAGGAGGATAGGGTAGGTAACTTGGTGGTAGTGATGGGTGGGACTCGTGTGTAGGGTGCAGGAGGAGGATAGGGTAGGTAACTTGGTGGTAGTGGTGGGTGGGACGCGTGTGTAGGGTGGAGGAGGAAGGCAGGAGACCGAGGCGGCAGTCGAGCGGCACCCAGAGGTCGGCGTCCAGGGGGAAGACTAAAGCCGGACGAGGGGAGTGGATGTGCTGTGCCAAATGTGAGAGATGTGGCATAAGGAAAATAGCGATGGCGATGCGCGTGTTGTGTTAGACCAGGGTGCCCCTGAGGGTTATCTCGCCCTCGGCGCCCAGAGGGTGACAACAGCGTGAGTCCCCTCGCTCCAATCCTGCGCCGGGGACAGCTTCTAAGTGGCTGTCAGAGCACGCGGGCCGTGACGCTGCTGGCCCAGACGGCGCTCTGTGGACCGCGCGTGGGTGACAGAAATAGTGACGATAAGTTTGGCGCACCCCCCCGCCCCCCGCCCGTTATCGCCGACTCACCGGAGCCACGCGGTCCCCGCGACGCGAATTGAGTTGCTCAGCCGTGACGGGTGGCTGAAGCGCAGGCGAGGGGAGCGCGAGAGCTTCAATACGCGCGTCTGGTGTCGGGAGATGGGCCGTGGGGCACAATGTCAAACGCACGCGACGCGTTGTAGCCCTGGGCAGTTTTAAATACCGCGATCGACATTGTGCCAAACGCGGTCACCTCCGACGAGAAGTTGGTGACGCTGCCGAGACTCGAGCTGGCGACCCGCACGAGGTGACCAGAAAGACAGCAGCAGCAGCAGGAGGAACACCAGCAGCAGGAGGAGCAACAGCAGCAGGAACAACAGCAGCAGGAACACCAGCAACAGGAGGAGCAACAGCAGCAGGAACAACAGCAGGTGGAGGAGCAGCACGAGTCGGCCAATCACCAGTCCGTCCGTCCGCGTTCCCGAGCGCCGCCACATCGACACTCACCACTCACTACTCACTCACTCATCACTCACTCATCACTCACCACTCACTACTCACTCACTCACTACTCACTCATCACTCACTCATCACTCACTACTCATCACTCACTCATCACTCACTCATCACTCACTCACAACTCACTACTCACTCATCACTCACTCATCACTCACTCATCACTCACTACTCACTCATCACTCACTCATCACTCACTCATCACTCACTACTCATCACTCACTCATCACTCACTCATCACTCACTCATCACTCACCACTCACTACTCATCACTCACCACTCACTACTCATCACTCACCACTCACTACTCACTCATCACTCACTCACTACTCACTCACTACTCACCACTCACTCACCACTCACTCATCACTCACTCATCACTCACCCATCACTCACTCTTCACTCACCACTCACTACTCACTCATCACTCATCACTCACTCATCACTCACTCACCACTCACTACTCACTCATCACTCACTCACCACTCACTACTCACCACTCACTACTCACCACTCACTACTCACCACTCACTACTCACCACTCACTCATCACTCACCACTCACTCATCACTCACTCATCACTCACTCACCACTCACTACTCACCACTCACTACTCACCACTCATCACTCACTCACTACTCACCACTCAACACTCACCACTCACTACTCACCACTCACTACTCACCACTCACTACTCACCACTCATCACTCACTCACTACTCACCACTCACTACTCACCACTCACTACTCACCACTCACTACTCACCACTCACTACTCACTCATCACTCACTCACTCACTACTCACTCACTACTCACCACTCACTCATCACTCACTCATCACTCACTCATCACTCACCACTCACTACTCATCACTCACCACTCACTACTCACTCATCACTCACTCATCACTCACTCACTCATCACTCACTACTCATCACTCACCACTCACTACTCATCGCTCACTCACTCACTACTCACTCACTACTCACCACTCACTCATCACTCACTCATCACTCACTACTCACTACTCATTCATCACTCATCACTCACTCACTCACTACTCACTACTCACCACTCACTACTCACCACTCACTACTCACCACTCACTACTCACCACTCACTACTCACCACTCACTACTCACCACTCACTACTCACCACTCATCACTCACTCACTACTCACCACTCACTACTCACCACTCACTACTCACCACTCACTACTCACCACTCATCACTCACTCACTACTCACCACTCACTACTCACCACTCACTACTCACCACTCACCACTCACTACTCACTCATCACTCACTCACTCACTACTCACTCACTACTCACCACTCACTCACCACTCACTCATCACTCACTCATCACTCACCACTCACTACTCATCACTCACCACTCACTACTCACTCATCACTCACTCACTCACTACTCACTCACTACTCACCACTCACTCATCACTCACTCATCATTCACTACTCACTACTCATTCATCACTCATCACTCACTCACTCAGTACTCACTACTCACTCACTACTCACCACTCACTCATCACTCACTCATCACTCACTACTCACTACTCATTCATCACTCATCACTCACTCACTCACTACTCACTACTCACCACTCACTACTCACCACTCACTACTCACCACTCACTACTCACTACTCACCACTCATCACTCACTCACTACTCACCACTCACTACTCACCACTCACTACTCACCACTCATCACTCACTCACCACTCACCACTCACTACTCACCACTCACTACTCACCACTCACTACTCACCACTCATCACTCACTCACTACTCACCACTCACTACTCACCACTCACTACTCACCACTCACTACTCACCACTCACCACTCACTACTCACTCATCACTCACTCACTACTCACTCACTACTCACCACTCACTCACCACTCACTCATCACTCACTCATCACTCACCACTCACTACTCATCACTCACCACTCACTACTCACTCACTACTCACCACTCACTCATCACTCACTCATCACTCACTACTCACTACTCATTCATCACTCATCACTCACTCACTCACTACTCACCACTCACTACTCACCACTCACTACTCACCACTCACCACTCACTCACTACTCACCACTCACTACTCACCACTCACTACTCACCACTCACCACTCACTACTCACCACTCACCACTCACTCACCACTCACTACTCACCACTCATCACTCACTCACTACTCACCACTCACTACTCACCACTCACTACTCACTACTCACCACTCACTACTCACCACTCACCACTCACTACTCACCACTCATCACTCACTCACTACTCACCACTCACCACTCATCACTCACTCACTACTCACTACTCACCACTCACTACTCAACACTCACCACTCACTACTCACCACTCATCACTCACTCACTGCTCACCACTCACTACTCACCACTCACTACTCACCACTCACTACTCACCACTCACTACTCACCACTCACTACTCACCACTCATCACTCACTCAGTACTCACCACTCACTACTCACAACTCACTACTCACAACTCACTACTCACCACTCACTACTCACCACTCACTACTCACCACTCACTACTCACCACTCATCACTCACTACGCACCACTCATCACTCACCACTCACTACTCACCACTCACTACTCACCACTCACCACTCACTACTCACCACTCATCACTCACTCACTACTCACCACTCACCACTCACTACTCACCACTCACTACTCACCACTCATCACTCACTCACTACTCACCACTCACTACTCACCACTCACTACTCACCACTCACCATTCACTACTCACCACTCACCACTCATTCACCACTCACTCACCACTCACTACTAACCACTCACTCACCACTCACTCACCACTCCCTACTCACCACTCACTCACCACTCACTACTAACCACTCACTCACCACTCACTCACCACTCACTCATCACTCACTCACCACTCACTCATCACTCACCACTCACTCACCACTCACTCACCACTCACTCATCACTCACCACTCACTCACCACTCACTCACCACTCACTCACTACTCACCACTCACTCACCACTCACTCACCACTCACCACTCACTCACTACTCACCACTCACCACTCACTCACCACTTACTACTCACCACTCACTACTCACCACTCACCACTCACTCACTACTCACCACTCACTACTCACCACTCACTACTCACCACTCACCACTCACTACTCACCACTCACTACTCACCACTCACCATTCACTACTCACCACTCACCACTCATTCACCACTCACTCACCACTCACTACTAACCACTCACTCACCACTCACTCACCACTCCCTACTCACCACTCACTCACCACTCACCACTCACCACTCACTCACCACTCACTCACCACTCACTCATCACTCACTCACCACTCACTCATCACTCACCACTCACTCACCACTCACTCATCACTCACCACTCACTCACCACTCACTCACTACTCACCACTCACTCACCACTCACTCACCACTCACCACTCACTCACTACTCACCACTCACCACTCACTCACCACTTACTACTCACCACTCACTACTCACCACTCACCACTCACCACTCACTCACTACTCACCACTCACTACTCACCACTCACTACTCACCACTCACCACTCACTACTCACCACTCACCACTCATTCACCACTCACTCACCACTCACTACTCACCACTCACTCACCACTCACTCACCACTCCCTACTCACCACTCACTACTCACCACTCACTCACCACTCACTACTCACCACTCACTCACCACTCACTCACCACTCACTCATCACTCACTCACCACTCACTCATCACTCACCACTCACTCACCACTCACTCATCACTCACCACTCACTCACCACTCACTCACCACTCACTCACTACTCACCACTCACTCACCACTCACTCACCACTCACCACTCACTCACCACTCACCACTCACTCACTACTCACCACTCACTACTCACCACTCACTACTCACCACTCACTACTCACCACTCACTACTCACCACTCACTCACCACTCACCACTCACTCACTACTCACCACTCACCACTCACCCACTACTCACCACTCACTACTCACCACTCACCACTCACTCACCACTCACCACTCACTACTCACTCACCACTCACCACTCACCACTCACTCACTACTCACCACTCACCACTCACTCACCACTCACTCACTACTCACCACTCACCACTCACTCACCACTCACCACTCACTACTCACTCACCACTCACCACTCACTACTCACTCACCACTCACTACTCACCACTCACTCACCACTCACTCACCACTCACCACTCACTCACTACTCACCACTCACCACTCACTCACCACTCACTCACTACTCACCACTCACTACTCACCACTCACTCACCACTCACTACTCACTACTCACCACCACTCACTACTCACCACTCACCACTCACTCACCACTCACTACTCACCACTCACCACTCACTCACCAGTCACTCACCACTCACTACTCACTCACCACTCACTACTCACTCACCACTCACTACTCACTCACCACTCACTCACCACTCACCATTCACTCACTACTCACCACTCACTCACCACTCACCACTCACCGGCGTGGGATGTCTCCATGGTCGCTTTCCAGGCAATGTCTGAAACGTGTCCTGAACACAAAACGAAAAGTAAGAGGAGTCTTTGAGAGAGAGAGACTCGGGCGAGGCGTGGTACGGGAAATTGCCTTTGTTGTTTTTTTCTACAAAGGCACAAAACTAATTTCACCTTAAAGCACAATTACTCTCTGAAAGTTCGAGAAGCACAAAGCCCGAGGCGCGGGCGGGGACCACGCACGGCAGCAGTAGAAGCAGAAGCAGCAAAAGCAGAAGCAGCTCCTGCAGCAGCAGCTCCTGCAGCAGTAGAAGCAGCTCCTGCAGCAGCAGCTCCTGCAGCAGCAGTAGAAGCAGAAGCAGCTCCTGCAGCAGCAGCTCCTGCAGCAGTAGAAGCAGAAGCAGCAGAAGCAGATCCTGCAGCAGCAGCAGCAGCAGTTCCTGCAGCAGCAGCAGCTCCTGTAACAGCAGCAGCAGCTGCTGCTGCAGCAGCTGCGGTGCATGCCGCGTGTCTCCGCGTGATGTGACCCCCACTCACCGCCACCCCCCCCCCCCTGCACACGGTGGCGAGACGCGAGACGCGAGGCAGTGTCCGCCTTCTCCAGCGCGCTGACGGTGGGGCTGGATTCATTTTGCTGGACCCGTGCAAATTCCACATTCATATGCCGAAGACCGGGTGCCTCAGGAGGACAAGTACGAGTTTTCAATTGGTACCGATTTGAAGGACCCCGCAGGAATGACGAGCTAGGTTCACCACCCAGGGACCAGGTATCTCACTGAGTTCACCACCCAGGTATCTCACTGAGTTCACCACCCAGGTATCTCACTGAGTTCACCACCCAGGTATCTCACTGAGTTCACCACCCAGGGGCCAGGTATCTCACTGAGTTCACCACCCAGGGGCCAGCTATCTCACTGAGTTCAGCACCCAGGTATCTCACTGAGTTCACCACCCAGGTATCTCACTGAGTTCATCAACCAGGTATCTCACTGAGTTCACCACCCAGGGACCAGGTATCTCACTGAGTTCACCACCCAGGTATCTCACTGAGTTCACCACCCAGGGACCAGGTATCTCATTGAGTTCACCATCCAGGTATCTCACTGAATTCATCACCCAGGGACCAGGTATCTCACTGAGTTCATCAACCAGGGACCAGGTATCTCACTGAGTTCACCACCCAGGGACCAGGTATCTCACTGAGTTCACTACCCAGGTATCTCACTGAGTTCACCACCCAGGTATCTCACTGAGTTCACCACCCAGGGACCAGGTATCTCACTGAGTTCACCACCCAGGGGCCAGCTATCTCACTGAGTTCAGCACCCAGGTATCTCACTGAGTTCACCACCCAAGTATCTCACTGAGTTCACCACCCAGGTATCTCACTGAGTTCACCACCCAGGGGCCAGCTATCTCACTGAGTTCAGCACCCAGGTATCTCACTGAGTTCACCACCCAAGTATCTCACTGAGTTCACCACCCAGGTATCTCACTGAGTTCACCACCCAGGGGCCAGCTATCTCACTGAGTTCACCAGCCAGGTATCTCACTGAGTTCACCACCCAGGTATCTCACTGAGTTCACCACCCAGGTATTTCACTGAGTTCACCACCCAGGTATCTCACTGAGTTCACCACCCAGGGACCAGGTATCTCACTGAGTTCACCATCCAGGTATCTCACTGAGTTCACCACCCAGGGACCAGGTATCTCACTGAGTTCATCAACCAGGGACCAGGTATCTCACTGAGTTCATCAACCAGGGACCAGGTATCTCACTGAGTTCACCACCCAGGGACCAGGTATCTCACTGAGTTCACCATCCAGGTATCTCACTGAGTTCACCACCCAGGGACCAGGTATCTCACTGAGTTCATCAACCAGGGACCAGGTATCTCAGTGAGTTCACCACCCAGGGACCAGGTATCTCACTGAGTTCACCACCCAGGTATCTCACTGAGTTCACCACCCAGGTATCTCACTGAGTTCACCACCCAGGTATCTCACCGAGTTCACCACCCAGGTATCTCACTGAGTTCACCACCCAGGTATCTCACTGAGTTCACCACCCAGGTATTTCACTGAGTTCACCACCCAGGTATCTCACTGAGTTCACCACCCAGGGACCAGGTATCTCACTGAGTTCACCACCCAGGTATCTCACTGAGTTCACCACCCAGGTATCTCACTGAGTTCACCACCCAGGTATCTCACTGAGTTCACCACCCAGGTATTTCACTGAGTTCACCACCCAGGTATCTCACTGAGTTCATCAACCAGGTATCTCACTGAGTTCACCACCAAGGTATCTCACTGAGTTCATCAACCAGGGACCAGGTATCTCACTGAGTTCACCACCCAGGGACCAGGTATCTCACTGAGTTCACCATCCAGGTATCTCACTGAGTTCACCACCCAGGGACCAGGTATCTCACTGAGTTCACCACCCAGGTATCTCACTGAGTTCACCACCCAGGGACCAGGTATCTCACTGAGTTCACCACCCAGGTATCTCACTGAGTTCACCATCCAGGTATCTCACTGAGTTCACCACCCAGGTATCTCACTGAGTTCATCAACCAGGGACCAGGTATCTCACTGAGTTCACCACCCAGGGACCAGGTATCTCACTGAGTTCACCACCCAGGTATCTCACTGAGTTCACCACCCAGGTATCTCACCGAGTTCACCACCCAGGTATCTCATTGAGTTCACCACCCAGGTATCTCACTGAGTTCATCAACCAGGTATCTCACTGAGTTCAGCACCCAGGTATCTCACTGAGTTCACCACCCAGGGACCAGGTATCTCACTGAGTTCACCACCCAGGTATCTCACTGAGTTCACCACCCAGGTATCTCACTGAGTTCACCACCCAGGTATCTCACTGAGTTCACCACCCAGGTATCTCACTGAGTTCACCACCCAGGTATCTCACTGAGTTCACCACCCAGAGACCAGGTATCTCACTGAGTTCACCACCCAGAGACCAGGTATCTCACTGAGTTCACCACCCAGGTATCTCACTGAGTTCACCACCCAGGTATCTCACTGAGTTCACCACCCAGGTATCTCACTGAGTTCACCACCCAGGTATCTCACTGAGTTCACCACCCAGGGACCAGGTATCTCACTGAGTTCACCATCCAGGTATCTCACTGAGTTCACCACCCAGGGACCAGGTATCTCACTGAGTTCATCAACCAGGGACCAGGTATCTCACTGAGTTCATCAACCAGGGACCAGGTATCTCACTGAGTTCACCACCCAGGGACCAGGTATCTCACTGAGTTCACCATCCAGGTATCTCACTGAGTTCACCACCCAGGGACCAGGTATCTCACTGAGTTCATCAACCAGGGACCAGGTATCTCAGTGAGTTCACCACCCAGGGACCAGGTATCTCACTGAGTTCACCACCCAGGTATCTCACTGAGTTCACCACCCAGGTATCTCACTGAGTTCACCACCCAGGTATCTCACCGAGTTCACCACCCAGGTATCTCACTGAGTTCACCACCCAGGTATCTCACTGAGTTCACCACCCAGGTATCTCACTGAGTTCACCACCCAGGTATCTCACTGAGTTCACCACCCAGGGACCAGGTATCTCACTGAGTTCACCACCCAGGTATCTCACTGAGTTCACCACCCAGGTATCTCACTGAGTTCACCACCCAGGTATCTCACTGAGTTCACCACCCAGGTATTTCACTGAGTTCACCACCCAGGTATCTCACTGAGTTCATCAACCAGGTATCTCACTGAGTTCACCACCAAGGTATCTCACTGAGTTCATCAACCAGGGACCAGGTATCTCACTGAGTTCACCACCCAGGGACCAGGTATCTCACTGAGTTCACCATCCAGGTATCTCACTGAGTTCACCACCCAGGGACCAGGTATCTCACTGAGTTCACCACCCAGGTATCTCACTGAGTTCACCACCCAGGGACCAGGTATCTCACTGAGTTCACCACCCAGGTATCTCACTGAGTTCACCATCCAGGTATCTCACTGAGTTCACCACCCAGGTATCTCACTGAGTTCATCAACCAGGGACCAGGTATCTCACTGAGTTCACCACCCAGGGACCAGGTATCTCACTGAGTTCACCACCCAGGTATCTCACTGAGTTCACCACCCAGGTATCTCACCGAGTTCACCACCCAGGTATCTCATTGAGTTCACCACCCAGGTATCTCACTGAGTTCATCAACCAGGTATCTCACTGAGTTCAGCACCCAGGTATCTCACTGAGTTCACCACCCAGGGACCAGGTATCTCACTGAGTTCACCACCCAGGTATCTCACTGAGTTCACCACCCAGGTATCTCACTGAGTTCACCACCCAGGTATCTCACTGAGTTCACCACCCAGGTATCTCACTGAGTTCACCACCCAGGTATCTCACTGAGTTCACCACCCAGAGACCAGGTATCTCACTGAGTTCACCACCCAGAGACCAGGTATCTCACTGAGTTCACCACTCAGGTATCTCACTGAGTTCACCACCCAGGTATCTCACTGAGTTCACCACCCAGGTATCTCACTGAGTTCACCACCCAGGTATCTCACTGAGTTCACCACCCAGGGACCAGGTATCTCACTTGCGACGTTCCGATTGCGAGCCGAGCGGGTCTGCCAAAGTATCCAAATTGTCCACTCGTGGAACTGGCCTCGTCGTGGGAATGTGGAATTTACCCCCTCCCCCGGTTCAGCGTTGAGGGAGGGAGACGCTTTGCCTGGAGATTGGCATCTCTTGTGGATGCCACTCAACGCGGCACTCACACGCGTGGCGCCCCGTAGGGTCCGGCTGGACAGCTCCCCCCCCCCCCCCCCCACCATGTGTTGGTCGGCGTGATGTCCGACGTTTCGCACTCCACGTCACTGAGAGGAGCTCAAAGCACGTGGAGCGAGGCGGCGCAACCCGGCGGCTTGCAGAGACCTCTCCCTTTCACACTACACACACTACACACACTAGACCCACTACACACACACTACACACACTACACACACACTACACACACTACACACACATACTACACACACACTACACACACACTACACACACACTACACACACACTATATATACACGTTTACACTACACACACTACACACACAATATACACACTACACTACATACAATATACACACTACACACAATATATACACAATATATACACACACACACTACACACACAATACACACACAATATACACATACTACACGCATAATATACACACTACACACATAATATACACACTACACACACAATGTACATACACTACACACACACTACACACACAATATACACACACTACACACACACTACACACACAATATACACACACTACACACAATATACACACACACTACACGCACCATATACACACAATACACACACACACACTACAAACACTACACACACTATATATACACACACACACTACACACACAATATACACACAACCTACACACACCACACACGCTATATATACACACACACTACACACACTATACTACACACAATATACACACACACTACACACACACTATATATACACACACAATATACACACACTACACACACTATATATACACACACACACTTCACACACAATACACACAATATACACACACTACACACACAATATACACACACTACACACACAATATACACACTACACACACAATATACAAACACACACTACACACACAATTTACACACACACTACACACACACACACAATGTACACACACACACTACACACACAATATACACACACTACACACACTACACACACACTATATATACACACACACTACACACACAATACACACACAATATACACACACTACACACACCATATATATACACACACACAAACACTACACACACAATATATACACACACAGTACACACACACTACAAACACTATATATACACACACACACTACACACACACACTATACTACACACAATTTACACACACTACACACACAATATACACACTACACACACAATATACACACACACAATATACACACAATATCCACACACACTACACACATTACACACACAATATAAACTCACAATATCCACACACACACTACACACACTACACACACTCTAGACACACAATATACACACAATATACGCACACTACACACACTATTTACACACACACTACACACACACACTACACACACAATATACACACTACACACACAACACACACACTACACACACAACACACACACTACACACACAATACACACACACTACAAACACAATATACACACACTACACACACACAATATACACACACACACTACACACACAATACACACACACAACACACACACAATATACCCACTATATACACACACACTACACTACACACACACTACACACACATTATATACACACACACACTACACACACAATATACACACACTACACACGCAATATACACACGACACTACACACAATATACACAACAACAACAACCGCCATTCACCACTAAGTGGCGGTGACGTCACCACGACGCTTGTGCCAGGCCATGTGCATCTTGAGGCCACGTGAAGTGTCGAACGCCCGCGGGCAGGAGGTCACGGGGCAGACCCAGGTGCCACGGGTCGACTGACTGAGATGACTGGCTGATGCACCACCTGTGCCCCCTACTGTGCCAACCTGCTGTGCTTCAGCCACCCGGCGCTCCGCTCGTTGTTGTGAGCGTCGCTCCTCCGCCCTCCGTTGTTGTTGGAGGGCGACTACTTCTAACTGCCCATTAGCGTCCTTCACGAGCCTCCTCCACAGAGGCCGATCTTGACACCGCTCGAACCAGTCATCGGCAAGTCCACTCAGCTCCACGTCCTCCTGTACCACATCACTCCATCTCTTCTCTAGCCCGTGCCGCGCCCGTTTAGCCCCCTCGATCCGGCCGAACAAAAGCTGTTTAGGCATGCGGTGGCTGGGCATGCGGGCTACATGACCCAGCCATCGCAGCCTTGCCCGCCGGAGGAGCTCACCGATGGAAACTTGCCCAGATCTTTCAAGGATTTGTGAGCTCCTCACACAATCCAGTCTGGTTAAACCCAGGATGGATCGTAGGCAGGCCAGCCTAAATGTTTCTAACCGGCGAAGATGTTCCATTAGGGGGGTCCACGTTTCGCAAGCGTAGAGAAGGGAGGGAATGACCATGGCCGAGAAGACCTGAAGCTTAGTGCGGAGCGACAGACCAGGTAGCTTCCACACAGCGTTACGCAACCGATGAAAAGATATTGCCGCTCGACTGATACGGAGTGAGACCTCTGCTGTTAAACTGGAGCTGGTCATAAGCACACTGCCCAGGTATGGGAAACTCTCCACTCTTTCCACAACTGCCCCATCACCGATTGGGAGTTGTGGGGGTGGAGTGTCCAATGGTACAAAATACCCAGGCAGGTGCTTAGTTTTGGTGGGGCTGATGGTAAGGCCCCATCTCTTAGTGGCACGTTCCAGTCTTAGCAGCAGCGTCTCCAACTCCTCCTCTGAATGAGCAGCTATTACCAAATCATCGGCATACATAACGTGGTTGAGCAATAGGGAGCCATCCCTTGACCTGCACCCGGGCATCGATCAGCCTCCCATTATATCTGTACCATATGGAGATTCCCCCGGTACAGCTATTGAAGGCTTCACGAACTACGTGGTCAAAATAGATGCTAAATAATGTGGTAGCCAGAGGACATCCCTGTCGCACCCCAAGGTGTACAGGGAATGGCTGACTCACGGCCACGTAGTTTTACCCGGGCCCGCTCACCATCATGAAGGTCCTTAATGATCGTGAGCAGAGGGCCAGGGACTCCAAAAGCACGAAGAACAACCCAGAGCCCAGGCCTACTGATGGTATCATAGGCCTTGACCAGGTCAATAAAGCAGAGATGTAGGTCTTGCTGGAATTCCCTACACCTCTGTTGTAGCAGACGGACAGAAAATATGGCATCTGTGCAGGACCGCCCTTTCCTGAAACCGCATTGGGGCTCCGCAAGCCTCTCCTCAGCGTGCCTGGCAAGGCGATGTTGAATAATCCTTGCCAGGACCTTTCCCGGCACACTGAGGAGTGAGATGCCCCTGTAGTTGTTACAGTCTGTGCGATCCCCCTTCTTAAAGAGGGGGACCACCAGGGCATCCTTCCAATCCTGCGGAACCCGTCCAGTGGTCCAGACTTTTGTTATGATGTCATATAGGGCAGTCTGTGCACAAACGCCACCCTCCCCCAGCATTTCGCTTGGGAGATCTTCTCTGCCCGCTGCCTTTCCTGGTTTCAGACTCCGGATCGCCTTCAGTACTTCCTCAATAGATGGCACTTCAGCCAGCCACTCACAGGGGGTGACTTCTTCCAATATTTGAGGCACCGCAGCCTCAGCAGGGTCATCCTCACTTTGTGCCACGATGTTTTCCTGGCTGAGGATTTTCCCTCCCCCAGGACCTCACAGAATGCTCAGTAAATCTGCAAACCTGTTCCTGGGGGTCGGAGATTGGATCACCGTTTTTCCCCTAATGATGGTAATAGGTGTGGCGCTGCAGGTTACTTTTTTGATAGAGTTAAATGGAGATTTGTGATCGCGGGCTACTGAGGCAGACTCCA